AATCAAACCCAAGACCTTTCAGTCCACAGACTGACGCTCTATCCACTGAGCCAAACTGGTTTGGATTACATTTCTATTTATACATTGCAATCAAAGGAGGGACAAAGGTGGGTGACAGGAAATCCATTGGTGATGGAGTAAGGAGATGGAAGAAAGCAAAATGATGTGAAACCCCTGGGATTGGATAAAAAGTAAAATGATGGACGGGTACTTAGGTGAGTGCAGGAACAAGCGAAGGAATTTAAGGCATCTATCCTACCCTGTTTCCCTGAAAATAATACAGTGTCTTATATTAATTTTTGCTCCCAAAGATGCGATAGGTCTTATTTTCAGAGGGTGTCTTATTTTTCCATGAAGATTACGGTACACTTTTTTACAGGCTTTTTCAGTTTCAAGAATAAAATGCCCAAAACATGTTCAATCTTTTCCTTCTTGCTCTCAGAAATGATTAAAGGTGGGATTTTAGTGCCATCTAGACGAATTGCTAAAATACAGGAAACTCGTGCATTTTCGTAAGCAGTGGAGGGAATGTACACTAAGGAGGCACCCGCTGTTCAATTGTTGTTGGAGATGATTGGCCCATAAACACTGCAGTTTCATCCATAGCAATCATGTTGGGAAGAATGTATTTAGAGAGTCAGCATCATCAATAAAGGACTTGAGTATCTTCCAACCTAAACAATGTTGTAGATCTTCTTAAAGACAGTTCACTTCGCTGAAGTAAATTATCCAGCCAGTGTTGTGATGCTATGAAGTCTTCGGGGGTTATGTCAAACTGTGATGCCATTGCAAGGGCAAATTCTTGAATCAGCCCTATTCACCACCAAAGCCTTTGCTCTCCTGACAACAACCCATTCACAGATCAGGTCTTCCAGCTGAGAAAATAATGGTTGCCAATCTGATCCACACTTGTGCTTTTTAGCATTTCACTTGTCCACTTGTTCAATGAGGTTACCATACTTTGCTCGCCATTTTCGGACCAATCAACATTTTCTCTTTGCAGAAAGCATTAAGATTTTGGCTCCAAGAGTCTTCCATGATTCCTTCCTTGTACTCCATGGAGTACCTTTTTCTTTTTGCGCTCATTTCTAGGAGTAAAAAAAAGGAATTGGGGTATCAAGGTGTGGGGAGGAGGACCACTTAAAATGACACAGGGGGGATCAGAGGGGGCTAATCAAAATGACACAGGAGAATCAGAGGGGGAATTACCGTTTTAGTAATCTCTTTTGATATTCCTGTGTCATTTCGATTGCCCCCTCTGATCCTCTTGTGTCATTTTAAGTGATCTCCCCCCCACCCCTGTGCCACTGAATACTTTCACCAGACATTCTCCCTACCCCTTTATCAGACATTTATCCCCTGGGGCCTGCCTGGGGACTGTCACTGGGCTTGCTGGGGCCTGAATCTGGGCTGGAGCAGGGTCTGCCACTGACTGAGAACCTTCAGTCATCATGAGGGCGGCCGCGAGCATCAGGTGGTGTCACCAGAGACAGACCAGCACTCACCACCTTCGCAAGTCCGCTCTAATCCTCCTGTTCTTCTACAGGCATCTGCAAAAGTCTCCTTCTCTCTCCTGCCCCGTGCTCACCGCTCACTTCAACCTCCAATCTGCCTCCACACAGCAGTGACGTCAGGACTCTGCGTAAAGTCACTGGTTGCTAGACGCCAGTTGAGGCGGCCCTAGCAACCAGTTTACAGTAAATTAGTTTTCAGTCTGAGACAGAGCCTAGGGGGGCCTTATTTTCGGGGGGATGCCTTATATTTCACTCAGAAGGAAACCTGTAAGTAGATCTTATTTTTGGAGGATGTTTTATTTTCATATATATATATATATATATATATATATATATATATATATATATATATATATATAAACGTGAAAAACCACCATTAAAAAAACACACACAAAAAACAGACTGAAACCTCAGAGGGAAGGCAGGGTGGTGGTGGGAAGAAACCAGCAATGAACTTGTATGCACATGTGCAAGACCCAGGGTCACGGACAATGGGGTGTGAGGCCTATGGAGGGGGAGAGGTCAGTGGGGGAAAACGGGGACATTTGTTATACATTCAACAATAAAGACTAAGAAAGAGAAACACCTGCCCATAGGAGAGGCCCTTTGCCACCTGGGCTGCTGTTCCCACAGCTTGGCAGGCTGGACCGCATCCCAGAGTTTCACATCCAAGATCCCTTCTGTGTCTGCTCATCAGGGCGTCCTGGGCCCCAGGGAAGAAAGCACACCTATCACGGTCTCTCATATCAAAATAGAGCAATTTATTCAAGACCTGAACAGGACCTGCTGGTTCTCTGGGAACAAATGGCTACCACACACAGGATGATCATTATGTCGGAGCGCGTGAGGGGACGTGGGGAGGGGACAGATGTGGATGCGGACATGGGTGCTGGCGGAGCAGACAGTGGACTGGCACACCTGGCACAGACGACAAACACCGCAGGGGCCAGAGCTCCCCGCCCCCAGGAGGGGGGAGGGCACGCTTGTGCATTTGACCCGAAACATGGTTGTGAAGGGACAGGTGGCACGGGTACAAGAGGAGAGGAAGCAGGACGAAGCAGACTCGGCGCGGGACTAAGTGCACTTCCCCACCTTCGACCGACGTTAGGGCAGAAGGGAAACCCCAGTCCCCACCGGGCTGGTGTGGCTCAGTGGTCCAGCAGCGACCTATGACCCAGGAGATCTGGGTTCATGTCCCCGGCAGGACACAGGTCTCCACTAGGGGCCGTGCAGCAGGCAGCCCAGCAGTGAGTCTCCCTCATCATGGTCTCTCTCGCTCCTCCTTCTTTCCTCTCTGAAATCACTAAAAACAAAAACATATTAAAAAAGAGAACTCCAGTCCCCGTGGTGAAGCCGGTCACTGCCTTTCATGCCAGCCCCGCTCATGCAAACCCAGGGGAGACTCCAGGAGGCTGGGCGTGGAAGGATCAAGGTCACTGTCAGCATTTGCTCACTGTCAGCGTTAGGGTGTAAGCTGTCAATGAGGGCGAACAAGACAGGCTGCCGGACCCGACTTCCCGGGACTCAGCTGCCCGCTGTCACAGCGCCTGAACACTCAGGCCCCTGTGGCTGCAGCAGCTTGTCTCTGAGGCCAGGGGCAGGAAGCCGGGGCCACGGAATCCCCATGGGACTAAGCCGCGTGGCCCAGGATCCCCACCTTACTGTGGCCAGCGGTTTGTGTGCACTCCGGGCCACAGTGTGAGGATTGTCTGCGGGAGCTCCGAGCCCGCAGGTGCCCCGATGGCGCCCCGACGTGTCCCTGCCCCTGGCCCCCCATGGGGCGGCGATGCCCAGCTGGAGACACGCCCGTTTTTAGGGGATGGGGTGTCCGATGGCGCTCCTCAGCATCCCCACACACTGCACCCCCAATGTCCAGACTTCTCTGGGCAGAGAGGACCTGCAGGCTGGGGACCAGAGTGGTGACCAGAGACCCTGGGCTCCAGGGAGGCCACGACCCAAAGCAAGCACCCAACTCGGCACCGGCACTTTGGGGTCTTCTCCGGCCGGGGCTGGAGGATCCACAAGGAGGACCCGCGGGCCAGCCGTCCAGGCCTCTGGGACGTGAGCACCCGCCCTGGGAGTGGGTTTCCAGCTCTTCCCACCAGTGTCCAGTCTCTGGGGTGGCCCCTGCAGAGCTGTCGGTCAGCATTAGGGTTTATCGCCGCCCCATCCCCGCTGCGCCCCAATGCGATAGCCCCGCGCAGCCGGGCAGCCACCTTCCGGCGCACAGCCAAGTGCACGACGGAAAAGCGAAGGACTGCTGGTGAGGAGGAGAAGGGGCGCAGACGGTGGCCTTCCACCTGTGCCTCCCCTCGGGGCCTCCCTCCCCGGCACCTCTGAACAGCCAGACCCAGCGCCCTGGGGGCAGCCGTGCCAGCCCCCTCCCAGCGCCCCAGGGCCAAACCTACAGCGACTCGGAGCAGAGCCTCTTGTGTCACTGGCTTCGGGGCCGTTTGGTTGGGGACTCGCTCCTGAGGTCACCGAGGTCCCTGTGTACCCCCTTCACTGTCCTGCGGCTGCCCAGGCAGGGCCCGGGGACCCCACGCGTGCCCGCCCACCCGCCACGCACCGCTCCCCGGAACGGCTTAAAACAGGAAACCGCACAAAGCTCTCTGCCTGATGGCCGTTGTAAGGATTTTAAAATCGTTCTCACATAAAAATATCTTCTTTTTTCCAAAAATACTCCGGGCTCTCTCTCTCATAAGTCTTTTTCCCTCTCCTGTAAAAAGCCCCCCTGCCCTGCCTTCCCACATAAAGCACTTGTTTTGCGAGGAATGTGCCCTGGAGACTGTGGAGCATAGGACACAGCTGACCAGGGGGTGCGGGGAGGTGAGGGCAGGGGAGGGGGCATAGAGGAGGGGAGGAGCAGAAAGCTGCAGGCACAGACTTTGCCAAGTGTCCCCAAGGCCGTGTCTACAGCAAGCCCAGACACGGAAGAAGGACAAAGGCGGGGGACGGGCGGGGACAGGGGAGGGAAGGCCCAGCAACGCCGCCACAGCGCAGGTTGGGGGCCACGGACGAGTCGGGGTCCCCCAGGCGCATTCCCGCCGCACAGGCTGGCTTTGGAATCCCTCTGCAAGCCCGCTGGGCCCGACTGTCAGGGAGCCACGCGGACCGCAGGGGAAGGGGGGTTTGGGGGGGAGAGTTTCCTACCCCTTTTGAGCAATCACAGCAGTTTTCTCTCTCCCCTTTGCTGGCACAACTCCCCCCCCCATCTTCCCGCCCCGCCATGGCAGCCACGGGAGCCATCTGCACGCATCACCGGGCTGGGGGTGCCGGGCTGCCCCCCTCGGATACACTGTGTGTGTGTGTGTGTGTGTGTGTGTGTGTGTGTGACGCTCGGCAAGGACGTCGAATACAGCTCCCGGACTAGGCCCACGGGCCACGCCGCGCAGTCTGGCAGCTGCAGGATCGAGTCTCAGGGGTGCCGAGGCCCCGTGCCCACGGCTGGTCCATGACCTCTCTTGTCTTCCCCGGCCACCGCGGTCACTTGCGCAGATCTAACACACACACCTGTGGGGAGACGGAGGCCCGTTATTGTAGCAAAGGGAACAGGAACGTGACTGTGAACGTTCCGGCGAGTGGCAATGCCAGGAGATGTTGCTTGTATGGAAGGGAGCAGAGGCGGGCGGGCGAATGATACTGCAGAGCCCGGGGATCGAACCAGGCCCGCCCAACTGTTTTATAAATAAAGTTTTATTGGCACACAGTTCCGAACATGCAGAGAAACTGTGCCCACATGCTGGTGACTGGGCCTCTGACCATCCTGGGAACTAACCCAGGGGCAGTGGCCATGGGCGGGGGTACGGCCCAGACACCGAGGGCCAGGGACCGTGACCACTCAAGCCTGCGCTCACGGCCTCGGGGAACACGAGCGGGGTGCCCGGGCCCGCCCAGCCCTCCCATCGCCCCTGCCTCAGGGGACCCAGGAGAGCCGTGGAATGCAGGCAGAGGGCCCAGGAGCAAGGTGCTCAGTCTCAGCCCGGGTATGGGCTGCTGGGCCTTTCCCCTTTCCGCCCCGCGCGCCCCCCGCCCCCTGCCCCAGCATGCCGCGGGCGCTGCTTACGGAGCCGTCGGACGCACTGGCGCCCACTTTGTCCCCTCGGGCGTTCCAGCAGACCTCGAAGATGCCACCCGTGCCTCGGTAGCTGTGGACCAGGCTCCCACTCTGCAAAGAAAAGCAGGGCCAGGCGCTCAGGATGGGACCGGGAGGGAGCCAGGCCACCGCACCCCATGGTGGCTGTATCTAGAGGGCACCCTCTCCCCAGGACCCGGGAGGTTTGAGATCTAGACAAAAGGAATGCCAACGTGATGAGGTTTCGGCCTTGGGCGGTCCCTAATGTCGGTTGGCTTTTTTAAGTCCACTTTCATTGACTTCAGAGAGGAAGGGAGAGGGAGAGAGAAACATCCATGGTGACAGAGAATCAGGGATCGGCTGCCTCCTGCACGCCCCACACTGGGGATCAAGACGGAAACCCCAGGCATGTGCCCTGATCGGGAGTCCAACGGTGACCTCCTGGCCCACAGACTGATACTCAACCACTGAGCCATGCTGAGTGCTCCTCTGAGGAGGCTCAGTGCTCCTGGGGCGTGGGTTTTCTGCGTGGCCTGTCTGGGTTGTGAGGCTGGCGCCTCGGAGGCTCCTCCCTCTCCTCTCCCTGTCCTCCAGCATGGAGCTCAGGAGAGGCAGACACTGGGAAGCCTCCCTCATGTACTACCAACCCTTGCCACAAGGGGGCATGGGCTCGATGCAGATGTACCACAATGTCAACCCAGCCACAGGGAACCCCAAGGCAGGCTGGATTACAAGGGGCAATCCATCCTGAGGTCACACAAGCTGATCGCTGGCCACAGGCAACGGCTCTGACCATTTCTCCTCGGTTGGTAAGAGAACTGAGGGCTGACTGCGTAACATACAGTCCCTACCCTACTGCTCTTTTCTTAAATTTATTCTTTTTTTAAAAAAATTTATTCTTATTGATGTTAATGGTAGGGAAAAAAGGAGAGGGGGAGATAGACACATCCATGAGGAGAAGGATCATGGGTGGGCTGCCTCCTGCACGCCTCTTCCTGGGGATCCAGCCCCCACCCCGAGCCTGTGCCCTTGAAGGGGAATCGAACCAGGGACCTTTCAGTCCGAGGAATACCGCTCTCTTCCAGTCTTTATATTCAGAACCTCTTACCCAGGGTTACCCACGCTGCCACCCTTCACTCAAATGCTGTCTCCTCCGAGTTCTGCCAACAGCACGACCCTCTATCCATACCTTTCCTACCGAAACATGGCCCATTCCCATTAGGAACTAAAATGGCCCCACAAAGCCAGCAGGCATTCCTTTACACCCTCCAATCTGATTCGGACCGGAGGTCAGGGCTGGCTCCCCGCTTGGAAAGCTCGAATGTATGACACCTGTTCCCCCACCTTAGCACCCCGGACAGTAGGGGTCCGGGTTACTGTCGCCCCGTTTTCCATAGAAGGATGAGGCAGGGGACTCACACCCCAGCGGCTGCCTCAGGCCTGAGTCCCAGAAACTTGGCCTCAGGCGGGCCGCTGAGAGAGGTCCCGGATTACCTGCGTGTTCCAGATGTGCACGCACTTGTCGAAGGAGCCGCTGGCCAGGTACTTGCCGTCGGGGCTGAACGCGACGCTGTACACGGGCTCCTGGTGCTTGGTGAGCGTGTGGATGCACACGCCGCGCTCCACGTCCCACAGCCGCACCGTGGAGTCGAACGAAGCGCTGGGAGGAAGCGAGGAAACGTCACCACGGACACGCGGGGCCCCCTCCCGCCTCCCCACGGCGTGCCTGCGTCACACTTTCCCCGTGTGGCTTTCATGTTTCCAGAGATGGTAACGGGGATGTGTCGTCCTGGCGAAAATGTGACTCCGATGCATGGACAGCAAAGCCATTGTTATAAAACAACTAATGGCCCCGGTGCACAAAATTCGTGCACATTAAAAGAGAATTAATGCCGAGACCGGTTTGGCTCAATGGATAGAGCGTCGGCTTGGGGACTGAAGGGTCCCGGGTTCGATTCCCGTCAAGGGCATGTACCTTGGTTGCGGGCACATCCCCAGTGGGGGGTGTGCAAGAGGCGGCTGATCGATGACTCTCTCTCATCGATGTTTCTAGCTCTCCATCTCTCTCCCTTCCTCTCTGTACAAAATCAATAAAATATATTAAAAAAAAAAAAGAGAGAGCATTAGAGGAAATATTTTAACATCGCTATTTGTCCTTTTTCTATAATAGAAGTGTCAGAGATGAAAGAAAGTTACTAAAATGTACATGAAAATCTTGCTCCTGTCAGAGTCTGGGGCACGCCCACCACAGCACGCACTTCGAAAATGCAGGAGATGCCAAAACCGTTTGGCTCAGTGGATAGAGCGTCGGCTTGTGGACTGAAAGGTCCCAGGTTCGATTCCGATCAAGGGCATGGACCTTGGTTGCGGGCACATCCCCAGTAGGGGGTGTGCAAGAGGCAGCTGATCGATGTTTCTCTCTTATCAATGTTTCTAACTCTCCATCCCTCTTTCTTCCTCTCTGGAAAAAAATCAATTAAGAAAATATATTTTTTTCAATAAAAAAATAAAAATAATAAAAAATGCAGGAGACCCAGACCCCGTCCGGCCCTGCCCCTCTGGGTGAGGGGTGCAGTCTCAGTCCCCCATCAAGCCCTGCCAGGCAGCGGGCATGACCTGAGGTCTGTTGGCCCAGAGTCAGGGAAGGGGGTGCGGCCTGAGGTCCCCCATTAAACCCCGCTGGGTGGGGTCGTGGCCTGAGGTCCCTCGCCCTGGCCAGGCGCTATGCAGCCTCAGGTCCCTGCTGTCTGGTTGTGACGTTTCGGCATCCTGGCTAATTTGCATATTCCTCTGTTATATAGAAGACAGACTCCCGTCCTTTGCTTTTTTGCATGCTGTGACTGGGGAAACAGGCTGATTTCATATGCATTGGTTCGTGCATTTTAATGTTACTGTGTGCACCCTGGACCCCAGAGCCCAAAGCTCCCCAGCACCCTGGCCTCAGACCTCTGCAGCTTGTTTTTCTGGACGTTCTTCCTACACGCGGGCCGACGCGGTTTCTGTGCACCACAGCCGACAGCAGCGTGGCCGTACCCCTCTCCCCAGTTCTGGGGACCCTGCTGCTGCCGTCCTGGGAGTGAGGGGCAGCCCTTTGCTGCCACTCAGAACCCGCGCCACCTGCAGCCCCGGGCACAGGCTCAGCTCCGATCGCTCTCTCCGTCCTGACGAAAACCTTCCCAAAGCCACATGCTGGGCGCCTGCACCCAGAACCCTCCAGCCCGGCGGGCACAGGGACCCCCGGCCTTGCTCGGTGTCCCTTCGTGGCTCTGTCGCGTGGGCCTGTCCTATCCGGGGAGCTACCCGTGTACCGTTTGAAAGGGCGCGACCTCATTTGCAACACAATTCACAAAATTCCTGTTCCTTCTGACACGAGCGGCATTCCCTAGTCACGTCCCCGGCCACCTCCTTCACAGACTGCCATCTCTGTTCCCTCGGATATCGGAACTGTCCCAGCCACAGGGAGCAGGACACGGGGGCCGCATGGCCTGGGCTGCAGGCCGGCCCCCCCTTACCTGGCGAGCATGATGCCGGCGCTGGGGTTGCTGGTGGCGGGCCCGGTGGGACTCCACTTGATGGTGTAGATCTCTTTGCTGTGAGCTTGCAGGTCATGGACACACGTGTCCTGCTTCATGCTCCAGATCTAGAGGGCACATTGGGAAGCGTGTGAGCAGGAGTTCTCTCTCCAGCTGGGAATGGCTCCACACCATCACGCCGTGAGCGCTCCTCAGGGTTGGGGCCCTGGGGCGGCTCGCCCGCAGGCGGATGGGTGCCCAGGCAGAGGGGCGGGCAAAATCCCGGGGCGCCAGCGGCATCGATTAGCCAAGGGGCCGCGGTACAGCCACGGGAAAAGTGTGGGTTACAAAACCACCCCCAGAGCAGCCGTGAGGGTGAGCCCCACACTGCCCACAGTGGTGGCCTGCGGCCCAGCCCCCCCCTCCACCTCACCTTTAATGTCATGTCGTCAGAGCAGGACGCCAGCAACATGCCGGATGGGTCCCACTTGATGGCATTGACCTCGTTCTGAAAGAGAGCAAAGGATTTTACAAAGAAATGAAGGCCCGTGAGCAGGTGCCACAACCGCCCAGCAGGGGGCAGGAGCGCCCCATCATCTCTGCAGACTCTCCAGTTCCCACCCCCACAGGGCTCAGGTTTTCCTGCTGCTTACTCTGCCTTTCTCACTGAGGCACGTCCACACACCACGCAAAACCAGTCACCCGCATCCACGTTTCTTTAAGAAAAACCTCACACCTCAGGAGCCCATGCGTTTACATTGAAAAAGCAAGCACAGACAACCGGTGTGACCACCAACCACCGTGGTTTTGAAACTGACATTGAAATTCATTCTCACCCTGGCCGGTGTGGCTCAGTGGCTAGTGTGTTGGCCTGCGCACCGAAGGGTGGCGGGTTCAATTCCCAGTCAAAGGCATGTACCTGGGTTGCAGATTCGTCCCTGGTCCCAGTCGGGGTGCATGCAGGAGGTAACCAACCAATAGGTGGGTCTCTTTCACATCAATGTTTCCCCCCTCCCCCCCCCAGTCCCTTCCTCCCTTCCACTCTCTAAAAACCAATGCGTTTTCCACCAAATTCAGGAGATTGGCTATTTCTCTGATCTCTCTTACGCATAGCTCTTCTCCAGATTCCAAAACCCCTTTAGATGCTGGATTAAGATCAATAGCATTTCATGTCGCCCAATGTCTGGCACCCTTTAGTCCAAGGCTTTATGCACTGAGCCAAACCGGCTAGGGCTGTCACAGAATCTTTTATAATTTTATTTATTTATTTACTTATTTATTTTTATATATCTTATTGATTTTTCACAGAGAGGAAGAGAGAGGGATATAGAGTTAGAAATATCGATGAGAGAGAATCATCCATCAGCTGCCTCTTGCACACCCCCTACTGGGGATGTGCCCGCAACCAAGGTCCATGCCCTTGCCCGGAATTGAACCCGGGACCTTTCAGTCCGCAGGCCGACGCTCTATCCACTGAGCCACACCGGTCCCGGCTGTCACAGAATCTTTTAATCCGAGGCTCCCCCGTCCTGGCACATGCCCATGAACTTGATCCCCGTCCTCCCACTTACCGTGTGTCCCTGGAAGGTTTTGATGGGGCGGTCGCAGCTGAGCCTGCAGACGTGAATGCACATGTCGGTGCTACAGGAGGCGAAGGCGGTGTTGTTCTGCCAGTCCACATCAAGGGCGGGGGCTGCGGGCGGAACAGGGAGTGGACACTGTGGTCTCTGGAGCCCGGGCTGCCCCACGTGGCCTGCTGTGGCCACAACACACAGAGGGATGTGGCTAGGCCCACGGCAGCGGCTGCACACCCCTGTGGGAACGACGGCCCACCTCAGGGAGACCATGCTCTCTTGGCCCACGTCTGGGGATCAGGATTCCCGAACGTTCCGTTCCCACCATTCCCTGACTGACGAGAGCAGCTTCTGTACTTAAACTGCAAACTAGTAGTTTACGCCAGTTCCTTCCAGGAGTCTGGAACCTGGGTCCGAGGCAGGGGGAGGCTGCCTGCAGTACCAGCCTCTGCGAAGACCCTGGGCTGAGTCTCCACTGAGCTCCACGTGGCCTGTCAACACTCGTCTCTGGGGGAATCGGCCTGTCCTTGGCGACTCGCGGCGAGAAGACCACTGCCAGTGCTGGATTTCACCGGGACCTCTCCCTTCGGCTGGCTGTGCTCTGTGTCCTTCCGCTGTGACGCACCTGAGCTGGGACTCCCCATGTGGGCACAGTCTCGGGGGTCCCCAACACGGCTCCCCTGAGCTGGCAGGAGAAAGGAGGCCGCACTGGTCCTGGGATTGGTTTCCTGGGGTGTTTTTCATGCTTTGATGTTGGGGACTCTGTACCGTGGACGCCTCACAGCCCTGGGACTGCAGCTGGATTCCATGGACACACTCCTTGGAGTAGACAGGAATACCTCACAGGACATTTTATGGGAACTCTGTGCTATTATTTCCAAACCAGAGGCCTGGCGCATGACATGCGTACACCCCGAATGTCATGGGGGGGTGGGGTGGTGGTGGTGGTGTCCCTCAGTCAGACCTGCATCCTCTCCCAGTCCCGGAGCCCTTAGGGGATGTCCGACTGATGGCTTAGGCCTGCTCGCCAGCCATGAGCCCAGCTCAGGGCTTCTGGCAAGCAGTGCTCCCCCTACAGGAGCACGCTGACCCCATGGTGGTCAGTGCGTGTCATGGAGTCTGGTCGTTCCGCCGTTTGGTCAATTTGCACATTAGCCTTTTATTATATAAGATTGCAAAACCAAACCAAAAGACTCACCAGAGTGAAACGGGAACTGCTGTTTGGCCTCTCCCGTGTGAGCATCCCAAATTATGGTGGTCTGCACTCCGCAAACGAAAAGGAAAAGTGAGTGAGTGTTCTCGCCATGTTTTCTCTTGGAAAAGTTATCTTCCAAGACGAGGCAGCAGGCCCTCCTCCCTCCAGTCCAGGGCCGCCCAGTAAACAGACGGGGCCTCGCAGGGAGCTTTGTTCCTAGGAAGCCCTCCATGAAAAGAAGACAGACAGAAACTGGAAACTGAATTCTTTTTGTTTTTGGGGGCTGGGACTCGGATATGAACTGAGGTTGCTGTGGCCATGAAACTACTTTTTTAAAAAAAATACTGTATTGATTTTTTCCAAAGAGGAAGAGAGAGAGAGTGCTAGAAACATCGATGAGAGAGAATCGTCCATCAGCTGCCTCTTGCACACCCTCTACTGGGGATGTGCTCGCAATCAAGGTCCATGCCCTTGACCGGAATCGAACCCGGGACCTTTCAGTTTGCAGGCCGACGCTCTATCCACTGAGCCACACTGGTTTCAGCACTGAAACTACTTATTCACTACACATTTTATTTTACTCCACACTGGCCAACATAGTGTTTCAACCTGTGATCGACATGCAGCTGCTCATGTCTTTTCTGCCTACGTCTGCCAGTGTTACATACGTGACCAGGTGGACTGGTGGTGACTCCGCAAGGCACAGCCGCTGTAGCTGATCACTGGGAAAGTACCAATACGGTGGGGGTTTCCCCTCTCCCATTACAAGTAGAAAACACTCACAATAAAGCTTATCTACGTATCTTTCTGGCCCTTTCCCAGGTGAGGAGCAGAGGAAGGAACGGGCATTCCTGGCAAAGAGCAGAGTACTGAGCCGCACCCGTGGCCCCAGGCAGAGGCCCCTAAAGCAGGGAGAGAGCCGTTCCCCTGGCAGACAAGCAGGAATTCTTAGGGATCTGCTTAATGTCTGGGAGACAGGAAATCCCAGCTCAGGGAAACCAGTGGGGTTTCGCACCCATCACCTCACTTAACTGGAACTCCGTCGCTGACATCAGAGCCCGTGGTTGGGAAACTGGCTGTGGGCTGTGTCTGACTGCAGGCATTTCAGAGGAAAAACTCGGGGCAGTGAGTTTCTTTGAAACCGGACTCGGGACATGGTGGGTCAGCTCCGGCCCAACGAACGTCTTTCGTCCATTTGTTTGGTGCATCTAACACTTTCCTCAAAACCGTCGGCCAGCTGCCTCCTGCACGCCCCCCACCTGGGGATGTGCCCGTAACCAATGTACATGCCCTTGACTGGAATCGAACCCCGGACCTTTCAATCCGCAGACCGACGCTCTATCCATTGAGCCACACCGGTTTGGACGGCCCACACATTTCTTAAGAGGAAACAAAGCCTCAGATTTCAAAGAAACCGCGATGTCATCCAGAGATTCAAGACCAATAAGCGTCTACAGATCAGAGACGTATTTCAGTACTCACTCACTTTGTCCACACCCGCGCTCAAAATGTAATTGCCCTTCTTGTTCCATTTCAAGGCAAAGATGGGGCCTTTGTGCTGGCCTAAGGTGCTGGCCAGGTTCCCTGTGAGGAAGGAAACGGACAACAAACCAGCTGACCTCAAGGCCACGGCCGTTCATGTGAGCTTCCACCCCAAATCTGCTCCTCCCGGACCCCGAACCCCGAACCCTGGCTGGGGGGGGGGGGGGCGCGCGGGCGGTGGCGGCGCTCACCGTCCTCCGTCCAGATCCTCGCAAAGCCGTCGTAGGAGCCTGTGGCCAGCAGCGTCCCCTCGCTCTGCGGGCCGGAAAGAGACAGGCCGACAGAGACAGCTTAGCGGGGGCTGTTCTGACCTCTCATTCCGGGGCTAGAACATCCTCACGTCGATCACCCATTGCTAGCCCGGCCAGCGTGGCTCAGGGCTGGAGCGTCGACCTGTGAACCAGGAGGTCCTGGTTCGATTCCCGGTCGGGAGGAAGCTGGTGGATGACTTTCTCTCCTCATTGATGTTTCTCTCTCTTCCTCTCTGAGATCAATAAAAACATTAAGCCGAAGCTGGTTTGGCTCAGTGGATAGAGCATCAGCCTGAGGACTGAGGGGTCCCAGGTTCGATTCCAGTCAAGGGCATATACCTTGGTTGCGGGCACATCCCCAGTAGGAGGCAGCTGATTGATGTTTCTCATTGATGTTTCTCTCTATCCCTCTCCCTTCCTCTCTGTAAAAAAAAAAAAAAAAAAAAAAAGTAATAAAATACATTAAAAAAAAAAAAAAAAAAGAATCTGAAGGTGGAAGTCATGTTTCCTTGGCTGCTCAGAGACTCGGGCTGACACGTGCTAGTGCTCAGGGAGGGAGCCCCAGGACCCAGCCCCCCACCCCCCTGGGCACCAGCACGCGGGAGGCGGCCGGGGCTTACGTTCCAGTCCAGCGAGGTCACGTCCTTGTTGCTGGGCACGTCGTGGCCGCCCTCGCGGATGCAGTGCCGCAGCACCAGCTGGGTGGACGCCCCGTTGCTGCTCTCGTTCAGGTTCCAGATCCGCGCCGTCGAGTCCCCGGACCTGCGGGAGGAAGCGCCCGCAGTCAGCTACCGCGTGCTCCTGGGGTTCTTCTCCCTCCTCCCGCCACGCAGCCCGCCAGGGCCTGCAGCCGCCAGGCAGACTGAGCACACCGGCTGGCACAGCAGCTGGGAGCACCTAAGGCCAGGGCAAGCAGAGTGGTTAGGGGCGATCAGGCAGGGGAGTGGTTAGGGGCGATCAGGCAGGCAGGGGAGTGGTTAGGGGTGATCAGGCAGGGGAGCGGTTAGGGGCGATCAGGCAGGGGAGTGGTTAGGGGCGATCAGGCAGGGGAATGGTCAGGGGCAATCAGGCAGGCAGGGGAGTGGTTAGGGGCGATCAGGCAGGCAGGGGAGCGGTTAGGGGCGATCAGGCAGGCAGGGGAGTGGTTAGGGGCGATCAGGCAGGCAGGGGAATGGTCAGGGGCAATCAGGCAGGCAGGGGAGCGGTTAGGGGCGATCAGGTAGGCAGGGGAGTGGTTAGGGGCGATCAGGCAGGCAGGGGAATGGTCAGGGGCAATCAGGCAGGCAGGGGAGCGGTTAGGGGCGATCAGGCAGGCAGGGGAGTGGTTAGGGGCGATCAGGCAGGCAGGGGAATGGTCAGGGGCGATCAGGCAGACAGGGGAATGGTCAGGGGCGATCAGGCAGGCAGGGGAATGATCAGGGGTGATCAGGCAGGCAGGGGAGTGGTTAGGGGCAATCAGGCAGCGGAGTGGTTAGGGGCGTTCAGACAGGCAGGGGAGTGGTTAGGGGTGATCAGGCTGGCCACGGCTCCAGGCCAGGCGGCTTGGGCCAGGCACCTCGAGAGACCCAGGGCACAGCCTGCCCAGTCCAACCCACAGAGCTGGTTTTTTGTTTTTGTTTTTTAATTTAATTTTTAAAATATATATATTTCTTTATTGATTTCAGAGAGGAAGGGAGGAAAGAGACAGAAACATCAATCATGAGAATTATTGCTGGGCTGCCTCCTGAACATCCCCCACTGGGGATTGAGCCCGCAACCCAGGCATGTATGTGCCTTGGCCAGATTAAACCTGGCACCCCTCAGTCCACAGGCTGATGCTCTATCCAGTGAGCCAAGCCGGGCAGTGCTATTTTTTTTTTAACCTCAGGGGATCTTCTCCGCACCCTCTCTGCTGCACAGGGGAATTTTAAATGCAGGCACAGCCCCACCCGGGGAGACCACGGCCCGGCCCCGGGACTCCTCCTCAATTTTACCACCGTCGGAGGTACCCCAGGAGGAGCAGCAGGGGCACCCCAGGCTTGGGCCTGCACCCCGGGGCAGGTGCCCAGGCAGGCCAGAGGGAATGCGCCCCGGGGGCGGGACCCGACTGCGTGCAGAGCAGCGGGGCGCCCCGTCCAGAGCGCCCCAGGCGGACGCCTCACCCCGAGGCCAGGAGGTCGCTGACGGGGTTCCAGGCGCAGATGAAGACCTCGGACTCGTGGCCCCGCAGCACCGTGGCCTTCCCGGGCGGGATCTCCACGTCCCCGTCGATCTCCATGGGCTTCGAGTGGTTATCTGTGGAGGGAGCGGACGCCTCATGGTCACCGGCCACGGCGCTGCGCTGTGGCCAGGGGGCTGGATGTGAGCAGGCCACGCGGTGAGGGGTGAAGGCCACGGCCATCTGGACCTTCAGGGCCGGGCGGCTGCACAGCTGATCCGAGGGAAGCCAATTCCACCCCGGGAAGAATCCTCACATCTGCCTAACACACGCACAGGGGCACGCACATACATCCACGCACACACTGCACACACACACAGTCACACACAACCCAACACGGGAGCATGTGTGCTCAGTTACACACGCGTACACATCTGCGTACTACATGCCCACACTTACTCATGGCATGGGCTCCGTTCTCCTCCCCGTTCACCGTGGCTTCCCCGTTCTTTGGGGCGTTGGGCTGGGAAACCGCTGCTGGAGTCACCGTGGCCGTCGTGGCTGTTGTGGCCGCTGTGGCTGCTGCTGCCGCCGCCGCCGCCGCCGCACTGGCCTGCTGCTGCGCCAGCTTCTCCCGGAAGGCCTGCTGCCTCGTCTGCACCACATCGGGCATCACGGCGTCGATCAGCGACAGGGACTCTATGGGGCGGCCGTCGAACACCGTGCCATCCTGGGGAAGCCGGGGCACGGCCATCAGCCCCGAGGCTGCTGGCAACGGGCTACGGGCACCACAGGCAGACGGGCGGGCAGAGGCGAGGAAGGGCGGGCGGTGGGCAGTGTGTCCTGCACCCAGGGCTCAGCCTGGGTGCAGGACAGGGTGCAATGCTATCCTAAGGGGGGCACCTGATGTTTGGTCAATACCACACTGACCTGGGGCATTGCCACATTGCATGGAAAAGGTGCTCTACTGCAACTGAGGCACTACAATATGTCACAGAAAAGGTGCTCTACCCTGACCCGTGTGGCTCAGTGGATACAGCGTCGGCCTGCGGACAAAAGGGTCCCAGGTTCGATTCTGATCAAGGGCATGTACCTTGGATGCAAGTACATCCCCAGTAGGGGGTGTGCAGGAGGCAGCTCATCGATGTTCCTCTCTCATCGATGTTTCTGGCTCTTTATCCCTCTCCCTTCCTCTCTGCAAAAAAATCAATGATATATATATATATATGTGTATATATATATATTTTAATTGATTTTAGAGGGAGAAATAGAAACATCAATGATGAAAGAGAATCAGTGATCGGCTGCCTCCTCCACACCCCCTACTGAGGATTGAGCCTGCACCCAGGCATGTGCCCTTGGCCAGAATCGAACCTGGGACCTTTCAGTCCGCAGGCTGATGCTCTATGTACTGAGCCAAACCAGCTAGGGCTCATCATTGATGTTTTTATCTCTCTCTCCCTCTCCCTTCCTTTCTGAAAAATAAATAAATAAATAAAACTGGCCCTGCGTGAAAAACAGGCCCAACCACACCGTGAGCCCAGCCTAAGAGGAAGGGGCACGAGCAAATGAACACCATTTCCCTTTGTCACTACGGCCACTTCTCCACCAGCTTCCTGGTGAGCAGGCACCGCTCTGGAATGAGGACAGTCACCTCTGTCCCTCCGCGACTCTCTGACTGCACACGTCAGGGCTGATTCTACAGAACAAATCTGAGGTCCCAGGGAACCGGCGGCTCAGAGAGCGGATCAGAGAGCGGGGAGGGACACCCCTTCTGGGCTCGGCCCGGCCCGGTGCTCGCCTGCCCTGAGGTGGGACACGAAGGAAAGCCAACTGGGGGGGTACAGGGGGACACCACACGTGACACCACGGTGCTCAGTCAGCACCCAGCCAGCTGTGTGTGTGTGGAGACCATGACCTGCAGTAGCAGGCCATCCCTGTGTGCATGTGGAGACCATGATGCCTGACGCTTAGCAGCCATCCATGTGCGTGTGGAAAACACTCGGATGCCCGGGTCCCGGGCAGCTTCCTCCGTGTGTGCGCAGGCCCGCTGTCCCCGCAGCCTGCAGTGCAGACACCCCCTCTCCCGCCCCGTCCAGGACCTCCAGGCCGCGTGCAGGAGGGGGCCTGCTGCCAGCCCCCCAGGACCCGGGAGAGGGGCGCACAGACCTCGTTGATGCTGATCTCGGCCTCCACATACTGCAGTCCCTTCTGCAGGATGGAGATGAGGGCGGCGGGTGGCACCAGTGTCCCGTTGATGTTCGACTGGCTGATGTGGCTCTCGATGCCGAAGGTGAACGCCGAGTGGGAGAAACCTGCAGCCGGACAGGGGAGGCGGGGCGTGAGCCTGGAGGCAGGCGGAGGCACGGCCACGGGCACGGAGGGGCACTGGGGCCTCACCCGCCTCATCCATGCAGGACCCCCAGCCCTGGTGTGGGGGGAAGCGGGCAGGGCTAGGGGAGACACAGGCCCCGGAAGACCCACATTCGCCCAGGATGGAAAACAGCTTTGGGGGTGCAGCCATCTCAGCTTCATTTTTATTTATTTTCCATTGATTTCAGAGAGGAAAGGAAAGAGAGAGAGAGAGAGAGAGAGAGAGAGAGAAACATCAACGATGAGAGGGAACCATAGGTCAGCTGCCCGCTGCACACCCCCAGAGCCCCAAACCCGATGAGGACATTCAGAAAGGAATAGCCCAGCCCGGCTGGTGTGCCTCGCTGCTTGAGGCCTGACCTATGAACCAGGAGGTCATAGGTCAGCTGATTCCCGGTCAGGGCGCAGGCCTAGATTTTGAACTCGATCCCCAGTGGGGAGACTGGGGGGATGCAGGAGGCAGCCGAGCAATGATTCTCTCATCGCTGATGTTTCTCTCCCTCTCCCTATTCCGTTCTCTCTCTGAAATCAATAAAAATGTATTTTAAAAAAGGAGCATCTCAGTCCTGGCCAGTTTGGCTCAGTGGATAGAGCATTGGCCTACAGACTGAAGGGTCCCGGGTTTGATTCCGGTCAAGGACATGTACTTTGGTTGCAGGCACACCTCCAGTTGAAGGTGTGCAGGAGGCAGCTGATGAATGTTTCTAACTCTCTTTCCCTTTCCCTTCCTCTCTGTAAAAAAATCAATAAAATATATTAAAAAAAAAAAAAAAAAAAAAGGAGTTCCCAGCCCAGCTGGCCTCGGTGAGGTGCACGTTAATGCTGGATTTAGCAACACACAAAAGGACACGATGTCCGAGCCAAGTAGGGCGAACTCCAGGAACACTGGGCTTCCGCTCAGAAAACAAACCAGCAGAGTTCACCACATTGGAAAGAGGAAGGTTCTGGAACCAGATGGCGGACCTGAATCCTAGCTTTCTGCCTTGCTGTGGTGTGACTTGGAGAACTCAGCACCCTGTCCACACCCTGGGCTTCTCCTTGTGAAAGGGGGAGCAGCTCAGCCTGCTTCCTGGCTGTTAATCGTTTCAACTGAGACATACTTGGAATCACGCCTGGCACACAGTAGTAGATGCTCAATAAATGTGAGCTACACACCCCTGTACCAGGGGGGTGTCCCCAGGATGAAGAGCGATCCCGCCCAGATGCCCACCGCACGAGGCTGAGAAACCCTGACCTTCACGAATGACCTCAAAGCCTTTATTTTTATTTTTAAAAAGAAATCTTTATTGTCCAGATTATTACAGGTGTTCCGCTCCCCCCACCCCCCGCCCCATAGCTCTCCTCCACCTGATTCCCCACCCCACCCCATGCCCTCACCCCCCGCCACTATCCTCATCCACAGGTCTAAGACTTTTGTCCAATCTCTTCCCACACCCCTCAGACCCTCTCCCCCCTGTGAACAGTCCCTGATTTCCTCATATTCACCAGTCCACTCTGTTCGTCAAACTTTTTATTCACTTGATTTTTAGATTCACTTGGTAGGTTTGTATTTGCTGTCTTTTTGTTTACCTTTTTCCTTCTTCTTCCACTTCTTAAAGAATACCTTTCAGCATTTCATGTAATCCTGGTTTGGTGGTGATGAACTCCTTTACCTTTTTTTTGTCTGTGAATTTCTTTCTTTCTTTTTTTAAAAAAAATATATTTATTGATTTTACACAGAGAGGAATTGAGAGGAACAGAGAGTTAGAAACATCAACGAGAGAGAATCATCGATCAGCTGCCTCTTGCACACACCCTACTGGGGATGTGCCCGCAACCAAGGTACATGCCCTTGACCGGAATCGAACTCGGGACCTTTCAGTCCACAGGCCGACACTCTATCCACTGAGCCAAACCGGTCCCGGCATTGTCTGTGAATTTCTTTATCTGACCTTCAATTCTGAATGATAGCTTTGCTGGGTAGAGTAATGTTGGTTGTAGGTTCTTGCTGTTCATCATTTTGAATATTTCTTGCCACTCCTGTCTGGCCTGCATAGTTTCTGTTGAGAAATCAGCTGATAATTATATAAGTTTCCTTATAGGTAACTAACTGCTTTTCTCTTGCTGCTTTTAATATTCTCTCTTTGTCTTTTGCTCCTGGCACCTTAATTATGATGTGTCTTGGTGTGGTCCTCTTTGGATTCCTCTTGTTTGGGGTTCAGTGTGCTTTCTGAACTTGTAAGTCTATTTCTTTCACTAGGTAGGGAAAGTTTTCTCTCATCATTTATTGTAATATGTTTTCAATATATTTGTCTCTCTTCTGGCACCCCCAAAATTTGGATGTTGGTGCACTTGAAGTTGTCCCAGAGGCTCCTTACACTATCTTCATATTTTTTAATCCTTTTTTCTTTTTGTTTTACTGTTTGGGTGTTTTTTGTTTCCTCATATTTCAGATCTTTGGTTTGATTCTTGGGGTACAGTTGAGTTTCTGTATATTCTTTATTTCAGACTGTGTACGCTTAATTTCTGACTGGTCCTTTTCCATTTTTTTAGTATTCTCATTAAGGTCCTTGAAGGTCTCATCAAGTTTCTCAGCAGTTTTTAGAAGATTCTTGAATAACCTTATAAATGTGGTTTTGAACTCTATGTTGTCCCATAGCTTGCTTTCCTCCATTTCTTTCATTAGTGACATGTTTCTGTGTCTCTGTATTTTGGCTGCTTCCCTGTGTTGATGGAGTGGCTTTGTGTGGTAGGTGACCTATACAGGCAAGCAGCTCAGTCTCCCCAATCACCTGAGGTGGACGATCTTGGTACACCCCTTTGTGGGCTAAGTGCAAAGTCTTGGTGTAGTTAAGCCTTGATTGCTGTTGGTACACTGGGAGGAATTGACCTCCAGGCCAATTGGCTGTGAGGACCCGCTGTGTCTATAATGGAAGAACTGCTGTGCTGGAGCCACACTTATGGTGCAGGCCTTGTTTCAGTGGGTCTTTGGTGCTCACTGAAGTCAGCCTCTTGAATGTGTTACTTATGGATGTGAGGAGTTGAAATCTGGTATCTCACACTGACAACTAGGTACACTGGCTTATGGATCTCCAATGGGGTGCAGGTCAGCTACTGTCTGAGGCCACCCTGCAGGAGCTACAGCGAGAACTAGTTTTCTCCTCTTTGCTTGGAGGTTTGGAAGCTGCCTAAACTGGGTTGCGATGGAGAAGGCCATTCATATGCAAAAGCCGCTGCTTGGAGCTTGGGTGTGTTTGTAGGTTGTACAGGGCAGGATCTCAGGGGGTCACTAGGTTAAGTTAGAAAGGTGTTTACCCACAAGAAGGTGCATTTCCCCACAGGAAGAAGGGTTTCCCCACAGTAAGTTTTTCCCCACAGGAAAATGCACTTGCACCACAAGAAAGGTTCCCCTACAGGGAGAAGAGTTCCTACACAGGCAGGTGTGTTTCCCGCAAAGGAAGGTGCGTTTCCCTAAAGGAAGATGAGTTTCCCCAAAACAAGATGTGTTTCCCACAAAGGAAGATGTGTTTTCCCAAAGAATGCTGCGTTTAAGCAACAGGAAGAAGGTTTTCCCCAAAGGAAGTTGTATTTCCCCCACAGGAAAGAGTTCCCTCACAGGAAGTGTTTTCCCCACAGGAAGGTGCATCTCCACCACAGGAAGAAGGTGTGTTCCTCCCATAGGAAGGTGTGTTTCCCCCCCAGGAAGATTAGGTTCTCACAAAGGAAGGTGCATTTCCCTCAAAGAAAGCAGTGCTCCCTGAGAGGAAGATGTATTCCCTCACAGGAAGCTGTGTTCTCGTACAGGAAGGTGCATTCCTCCCACAGGAAAGTGTGTTCCCCACCCCCCACAGGAAGATAGGTTCCCCTAATGGAAGGTGCATTTTCACCAAAGGAAGAAGTGATCCCCTACAGGAAGATGTATTCCCCCACAGTAAGATGTTTTCCCCCACAGAATGATGGGCTCCCTAATAGGGAAACTACCCCCATCTCCCCACAGGAAGATGGGGTCCCCTACAGAAAGGTGCATTTCCCAAAAGATACATGTTATGCCTCATTTGAAGGTGTGTTCCTACAGAGGAAGGAGCATTTCTCCAAAGGAAGGTGTCTTTCTCCTACAGGAAGATGCGTTCCACCATAGATAGGTGTGTTTCCCCCAAAGGAAGAAGTGTTCCTCCAGAGAAAAATGTGTTTCATACAGGAAGCTGTTTTCTCTCACAGGAAAGTATATTCCTCCCACAGAAAGGTGTGTTTCCCCAAAAGATACACGTGTTTACTCAAAAGAGGTGCGTTTCCCCCCAGGAAAATGAATTCCCTAGCGGAGAGATGTGTAGTCTCACAGGAAGGTGTGTTGCGCCCACTGGCATGAGTATTCCCCCCACAGGAAGGTGCCTTTCCCCACAGGTAGATGTGTTCTCTCACAGGAAGGTGCATTTCCCCCACAGGACGGTGAGTTTCCCGAGAGTAAGGTGCTTTTCCTTGAGAGAAAGGATTTCCACACAGGAAGATGAATTTCCCCCAAAGGAAGTTGAGTTCCCCCCACCGGAAGATGTTTTCTCTCACAGAAGGGTGTGTTTCCCCCACAGGAAGGCTACGTTCCCACAAAGGGGTAGGTTTGAGGTAGGTGTCCTCAAAAGGATGATGAATCGCCCCCACAGGAAGTTGAGTTTCCCCCACCAGAAGATGTGTTTCTTCACTGGAAGGTGTTTTCCCCACAGGAAGGTGTACTTCCCCCGCAGGAAAAAGGGTTCCCATACAGGAAGGTGCCTTTCCCCCACAGAAAGTTGTTTTCTCCCACAGGAAGTTGTGTTTCCCTCACAGGAAGGCTAGATATCCACAAGAAGGGGCACTTCCCCACAGGAAGATGTGTTCCCCACAGAAAGATGTGTTCTCCCACAGGAAGATGTGTTCTTCACAGGAAGCTGTGTTTCTCCAACAGAAAGGTGTGTTTCCCCAAAAGATATAC